TTGCTGGCACTTTTGGATTCAACAAATGGAAAGTAAAAGTCAAAAGGAATGTTGACCTTCTTTTGCTAAAAGGTCACTTTTCTCTGAAAACTCTTTAAGGAGAGTATTGAGGATGTGTGTGTGATAAAGGGAAGGTACAAAAGCCTACAACGTTTTGCTGCATTAACTAGTTACTGCAAAGTTAAAATAGCAAACACCATCATAGCATAAACATAGTTATAATACTATATAAGCACTTTTATGGCACAACTGCAACTATACTAGTACTTATACCAGGGCTTTCTGACCAATTCCCTTGAACAAAACCATGTTGGTAGCAAAATGACACCTCTTACTAACATAGTTATGCCAGCCAAACTTAAGTATAAACTAAGCTAAGTTTTGAAGATGTATACTTCTTCCAGAACAAACCCAGAGAGCAAAGAAAGCACTCCAGTGCTTTAGCCTATATCCACAATGTAAAGTGTATAGGTTACCAACCTCATATTCAGCTCTCAGATTTTAGTCTATATCTCCATACAGGCCAACTTAACTCAGACTGAAAGCTCCAAATTCATATTGGAGGTTTGTGCACGTTTGTTGACAGAAGTCACCTTAGTAACAACAGAGTAGTGAAAGCTCAGGTTAACACTGCAATGAAGGCATGCAGAGCAAGGAATCCAATTCCCACTGAAGGTAGGCACCAAGTCCTACACACCCAGAAGGCACCTTTAGTCCTCTATGAATGTTATAACATGTTGGTATTTTACAAGAGGTCATTAGCAGACATCTGTGGAGAGTTCCACAGAGCAGCTATCAATAGAAGTTGACACAAAGAGTTCTCACCCTATCTGATTTGATTTCAGTCAGCTACTTTCTGCTTTGGTGCTAAGGTGACTAGGGAAGTGAGCAGAGAGGCAAGATGGAAGCAAAGAAAACCGCGAACACTCCGTAGGCACTGGGGGCAGTGGAGGGAGGGAGGGAGGGGGGGGGCAAAAATGAAGACAGAGCAGCTATCAATAGAAGTTGACACAAAGAGTTCTCACCCTATCTGATTTGATTTCAGTCAGCTACTTTCTGCTTTGGTGCTAAGGTGACTAGGGAAGTGAGCAGAGAGGCAAGATGGAAGCAAAGAAAACCGCGAACACTCCGTAGGCACTGGGGGCAGTGGAGGGAGGGAGGGAGGGGGGGGGCAAAAATGGAGCTGAACATCGGGGAACCTGGAAGATAATGTCCTCAATTCTGAGGGCCCCACCCCTGTCTGAAAGGATCCTCTCTCCTTGCATCAGCTGAAGCCACATCCTACTAACACATCGATGCAATATGTTCCCAATAAAAGCAGCGGTAGCTGAACAGGACTCCAAGCCCCCCCAGGCGCGTGTCGGACCAAACAGAAATGCCTTGACTCGTGGGATAATGTCCTCAATTCTGAGGGCCCCACCCCTGTCTGAAAGGATCCTCTCTCCTTGCATCAGCTGAAGCCACATCCTACTAACACATCGATGCAATATGTTCCCAATAAAAGCAGCGGTAGCTGAACAGGACTCCAAGCCCCCCCAGGCGCGTGTCGGACCAAACAGAAATGCCTTGACTCGTGGGCGCGGGCCGACGCGTGGGTCCCTTGGAGGGGCACGGAGCCCCCTCTCCAGCGGGCAGTGGTGCTGGCGGCGGGGGGGC